TCTGTGTATACTTACATAGCTGTTCTTGAAAGGTAGTTAACTATGTGATTTGTCTGTAGGAGAGAAGGTGCCTGAAAGAATAGTTAAATGTATCTATGTGTGGGTATGTGGATGTGTCTTTGTGTCTGTGTATACTAACATAACTGATTTTGACAGCTTACTGTAATCTGTCTGTAGTAGAGTGGATGCCTAAAACTATTTCTAGATGTGTGTGTGTGTGTGTGTGTGTGTGTGTGTGTGTGTGTGTATGTGTGTTATGTGTGTGGGATTTATCTGCAGGATAAGTGACACCTAAAAGATACTTAGATATGCGTGTTTGTGTGTGTGTGTGTATGTGTGTGTGTGTGTGTGTGTGTGTGTACACTTATATAGCTGGTCTTGACAGCTAGTTATGTGTGTGGGATCTTTATGTAGGACAGGGTTGCCTAAAATTATGCATTGATGTGTGTGTGTGTGTGTGTGTGTGTGTGTGTGTGTGTGTGTGTGTGTATACACATGCATGTCTATATGTTCATATTCATATCATTGGTCTTGACAGCTAGTCTGTAGGAAAGGTGGTGCCTAACAGGATACCTAGGTGTGTGTGTGTGTGTGTGTGTGTGTGTGTGTGTGTGTTTTGGGATAACCTAAAATTACCTATTACCCTCAAGACTGTAATGTCCCACTTTGGTTTAGGAATGGGGTCAATATGCAGCATGGCCCAGTAACTAGCAGTACACCGTGAGAGGTAACACATTGTCTATCATAGGAATTGGTCTAGCAGAACCTGATGTTTGGCAGTGTAGGTGTGTCTTCAGAAGAATTGTGTCAAAAATGTTAATTCATCCCAAGTTTGCAAGGCCTGATAGGGGAGAATTTTCCATCATGGTGTGATAGCTGTCGATAAATGTGTGGTAGGAGATCAAACAAAACTTGGTACCTAGATGTGGATGTGTGCTCACAGGGGTAGTGGTCTATCCAATCTATTTGATGAAGGGGAAGAAAGTCCAGTTGTGCCCCAATAATAGCTTATGGGTGAAATGGTGCCCATCATAGTATGATAAGCCATATTGTAGTAGTTTGGCAGTGTGAAATGTGATGTCCAGGTGTGTTTGACACTTCTGAGTGTGGGTGAGGCAGTTACAGTGTCAGAAGATCCTCAATCCTAACAGTGCATGTCAGTAGCTATGGGGTGATATGTGCTTTTCACAGCCTTCACCTAGCTTTGTAGGAGTTGTCATGGAGTGTAGGAATACACAGAAGGCTAATATCCAACAAATGTCTTTGTGTCGATATGTGGTGACCAGTCATGATACTAACATTGTGGTTCATGGTGGTAGGGTGTGATGTTCAAGAGAGCCTGAAATCTAGCAGTGTATGTGGATATTCAGTGATGTCAGGGTATCAAGTGGTTCCCAGTCAATGGCAATATATTTGGGTACAATGGTGTGATAGTGTTCTGTATGGTCTAATAAGTAGCAGGTAATTTGTATGACATTAGGAATCCAGACCTAGGAATACATGTGGGGTGTGTGTGAGGGTTTGTTTAACATAGTCTGTTACCTAGCAGTCAGTGTGTTGTCTTGTGGGAAGACAGGAATGGCCATATAATTGCAAGGATATTGGAGACTCTCTCTCTCTCTCTCTCTCTCTCTCTCTCTCTCTCTCTCT